TGCTCAATGCATTATTCTAAAATATCTGGTAATGGGGTGGAGAAGGACATTGTTGGGAATAGTGCTGAATTATAAATGAGGAAACTGTTCGTTTACAGCTTTACACTGACACATTGTGATCAGTCATCACAAGGCCATTGCACCCAGCCCTTTTATGGAAGGCTTTGAAGAGCTATCCAGGTATCACAGCAGATATCTGGTGATTCAGAAAGCAGTAACCTCCTTTCTGCACCATGCACTGCTGGAAGTGCTCTCCTGGAAAAGCAGGGAAGTGAAATTTCTGAAGCTTTGAAACTGGGAAAATCTGTGTGTGACTTTCAGCTTTTTTTGAGAGAAATCGTCATCCATATCCTGGACAGATTTTCCTCTAGGTAATTACATTCATTCTCTAGTTTCAAGTACATACACTATTCTTAATCTATACTTTTAAAGCACTTACGTTGCTGTGACAATCTTGCTCCTTATCTGATGAGCTGGTTGTCCAAAGCAATTTGAAAAAGGATTTTCCACAGAGGATAAAATAAAGTAGGCTTTTCCTTTTACGAAATGAATCCTAATTTTTAAGAGTTTAAATTCCAGAGCTCAGGACATTTTCTTGAATTCCTCTGCAATTCAGAGTACTGTGCTTTCACAACAGCTATGTTGTGAAACAGCTATTCCTTGCTTTATCTGAAGTAACTGTAATGATATAAAAGTAGTCTCCCAAAGACAGAAGAAAATAGATTAAAAAATTAGATCCTTGTAAATAAATGCTGACATTTACAGCTTAAATTGCAGTAGTGTCCATTGTCTGTTCTTCCCCAGCTTAAAAAAACAATGGCGAATTTTGCACCTCAAAGCAGTTATCACAGGGTAGGGAAGGAGACAAATCACAAGATAAAGGGAGGGCTATATTGTATGAACAATAATAGGATTTTGGCCAAGGATAAGGAAAAGGGCTAGTTCAGTAAGAGATTTTGGCAGATAAATTGAAGAGTCATGGAGCATCACTTAGAGATAAGAAAAAGCATTAACTCAAGAAGGTTTGGAGGAAAAAGAGGAGCGAAGTGACAGAATTCTCCTCAACTATGAGGTAAATGCATGGAAAGTGAAAAAAAAGTTGAGAAAAAAGTCTTCATATTAAGTTTCAGTCAAACTAGTGATTAAACCAGTGTTTAAACACCTTTGATTAGCAAACAGCAATACATCAAGAAGATGCAATGAAGAGACATTAAGAAGCAGAACTGCATAATGGAAGCTATGTCTGAAGGGAAGATGATGAACAAGTAGAACTGATAATTATCAGGTGCAAAACCTCAGGCTGAAGCTGTATCAACAGATACAAAGACACAGAGAAATTGCATTGAGTCTGGAGGGGAAGACACATCCCTGAAGCAGCTCAAGGTTCTCTCCAGACAGACAGGTATTCCCACTCTGTGTGACTAAATCTTCTGAGTATGGAGAAATAACAAATGAAAATCATGTTGAAGGATATGGAATTAAAAAAAAAATCTCACATATCTATGTAGCAAAATTATGTTATTTTTCTTTAGTGTTGAAGAAGTTTTCTCTTTACTGTTTCATGATCCAAAGCACATTCTAATCTAGTAACCATTCTTTGCTGGAACAACTGAGTCGTAGAGCTAAGAATTGATCCCTTTCAGCCCATTCCTCTTAAAAGATGAGAAATTTGCTTCCCCTCTGAAAGCAAAGCATCCTATTAGGATTTACCAAATGGTGTTTCTTTTTCCTTCATGACAAATTTCTAGAAAAGCTCACAGCTAGTTGGCATGCAGCCAGCACTGTATTCCCTGGCACCACATACCCTTTTAACTTTAGAGTTTGCTGGCACAAGCCAGCTCTGCATTCTGTCCCAGAGATGGCTGTGTTTCAGCAGTAATGAAACTGCAATACACAGAGTGCCACATTCTTCACTCCAACACCCATGCAGTCCCACTGAAAACAAAGTTAGGGCAAAGTTAGGAAAATTACTTGGAGGTGACCAAAGGCTGCCCTGCCAAGCTTTTATTAAGGAATAGTTTAAAAAAATATTACTTTGTTTTCCCCAAATAATCTATCATCTCACCCCCACCTCACTCCCTCACTAATTCCACTGAACTTTTTAACAAGATTTGTCAACATTTTCCTCCTCATCTTGCATGAGTAAGATCTTCTTCATGAGGGGTTCTTCTATGTTCTGTTGTTCCTCACAAGAGCCATGACGTTATCAGATGGCTCACTGTATTAGTGATGAGCAGACTGAACTACCTCCAGCAGGTCATTGAAATAAAAGGGTTTTGAAGTACATGCAGGCAACTGGTAAATTGGGAGACAAAGGTTACAGCACAAAGGACAAGTGTTACAGTGCTTTAGAAAGGTCTATTTGACGTTAAGATTCATGTGCATAAGCAGGTGTCTTCTGCTTCTTGTTCAGTAAACAGGCAGCTGAGTATTTGACCTCCTTGTTTTAAAATTCCAGATCACTGCTGGGCACGGGCAGGCCCACTAAAGCCAGCTGATGTGTCTGTGCTGCTCCCATTCAACCCAGCAGCACTGCGGCCACATCTGCCTCATTCCACCCAAACTCCTGCGTCTCTGGGGAGTTGCTCTTTCACAGGGAAACCTCAGCACTTGTTCAGCTGCCTGAGTGGCCGTCAGTGATTAGGCAGGTAGAAACTCTGAGCAAGCTGAGCAGAAGAAGCGCTGTGAAGTACTGGGTGAGTATGTCTTGTTAGCACACCAATTGCTGTTTGCCAGTCACACTGATATGAGTAAAGCTGGTTTAAGAATTGAGCTGAGGATTAGCTAGATGATTCATGGGAAAATCCAAAATTAAGAGCCCAATTTACATTCAGACTATGTGGCTGAGAGAGTTGGGGAGAGGGAGCACTTGGTCTCTTGCTTAGAATGAATCCCAATTGCCTCTTTCTTCTGGTTACAGTGATCAATCTTCAAACATGTCTATATTAAGCAAACCATATGTTTATATATGTATATATACACTTCTTGTAAAATACTAAGTTCCAGATACCTCTATATGAAGCTCAGAAAACCAAGATCTGCTCACAGAGATTTACTCAAGGTGCCCAAAGGCCACCTTCCTCTTTTCTTATTGTATAACAAAGAGGAGGATTTGCCCCAAAGCCTATAAAGCACAGCACAATTAAAGGCACACTGTAAAATACTATTGCATTAATGACATGTATCTGTTCCTGGAACACACTGCAAGTTATTTGTGATTAACCTAGTTCACTGAAGAAAGTTGTGAGGACTGGGCATATTTATCTTTGTTCTTTTCCTCTGAATATTTCTGGGTGCTGATAACAGTATCTAGTGACAGAAAAAAGTAAGAACACAAGTATTTTTCTGTCTGGTGAGCTAATATGCTACACAGCTAATAACTGCATGAAATGCTCTTCTGATTTTCACTTGAAAGGCTGTATTTCACCTATTCATCTCATTAATGATTTTTGTTCTGCATAGGATGCTTTGCTGAGAAAGGACTGGTTTCTATGGACTTGATTTCTCACAACCAGAGCTCTCTTGCATTATCCATCATTTACAGGGATTCATCATCAAAGGAATGCACACGGGTTTAAGCTGTAAAACACCAAGAGATTTGTCTGGACTTTGGAAGAGATTTTATGACATTCAGGATTTGGGAGTAACACTGTAAAAGAAAAATATTTTTGAAGTGCGTTGCTTTCTGGATGCCCTGTATCCCGATGAAGTCTTCCCTACCAAGGGCAGTTCATTTCCCTGGTCATCCTTTGACCCTGCTCTGAGCTTTAGCATCTCTCACAGATTGGCTTGAACTCATACGGTCTCTCCCTTTTCTATCTCTGTCCTACAAACAGAAAGCCACGGCTTCCTCCACACCCACTCTCCTTGCCAGAAGCCTCACTGCAACTTCCTGTCAGTTTTATGCGCTCTTGTGTAAGTGTGGAAGTGCCGTGGACTTCCTCAGAGCACGAGTTTCGTCTGAAAGGACCACGTTAACTCTTTGCTTACTTAGTGTTTCCTAGAAACATAAATGCTCATTGATTTTTTAACCTTTATCAGATAATTACGGTATTAGCTTTTCTGTTATTTTAGTCCTAAACTACGGAAATCACGTTTCCCCCCCGATGTCACCTACATTTTCCAGTTACAAAGGGTTTATTTGCAGGCACTGGGAATCCTGCTTTGTATCGGCAAGGATAATGATAGACTGTTCACATGCAGGGTCATAATAGTCCACATAAAACCAGCAGCATGCGGCATCTCTGAAACTAGCGGATCTCAACACCTTCTTGGAAATGCAGGAAATAGTGCAGTGGCATTTACTTTTCCAGCTCTTTACGTTCTTAATTAACTTTAAACAACCATGATGCGCTTTCGGCGCACCTCCGAGCTGCGGCTAAGCCACGGCTCCCGCCTGGAGCGCACAAGCACTCGGGAGAGGGCGGCGCTCCCTCAGGCCGACCCCGGCCCCCCGCGCCCCGGCCCGGGGTGGCGGCGGCGACGGCGGGGAGCGGCGCGCTCTGAGGGAAGGGGCACCAGCCTGGAACATGGCGGAAGTGGAACTGGGAGCCGCCGCCTCGTCCGGCCTCAGGCGTGGTGGGACCCCGAGGGGGTGGGGGGAGCGGGGCGCTGAGGGGCAGCCGTCGCGGCCGGGCCCAGGGCCCGGCCCTGCCCTTCGCCGCCGTCCCCCGCCCGCCGGTCCCCGGAGCAGAAGTTGGAGCGGAAGCGGAAAGTTGTAACCCCGCGGGTCGGGGCCGCGACGTGGGGCCCGGACGGCCGCGGGGAGGGGCGGGTGACGCCCGGCTCGGCCCCGCCGCGGGCGGGGAAGGGGACGGTGCCCGGCGGCCGCCGGCGTTGTCAGCGGGAAGTCCGAGCCGAGCCCCACCTAGTCCGGCCGCGGGAGAGAAGCCGCTCGCTCTTTCCGGCCGGTGCGTGGGGGCGAGGCGGGGGGGTCAGGCCGGGCGCGGCCGGCCGGGGCTTGTGCCTGGGGTGGCCGCGGAGTGGGACAAGCAGGCAGCGCGGGGGCCTGCAAGTTCCCTTCCTGCTTATCACAAAATGAAAAGGAAATGACAGGGATGTTCGCCTCGTCTAAGCACCCCACCATCACCCGTGTCAAAGCAAATGGAAGAATTTGACTGACACTTCCTGCGCCAAACCCGTCCAATGAGCATGAGGTCCTAGTACCCTTCTGCGTGCGTTGGTGAAGAGGTGATGGGAGGAAAGCAAAGTTTGCAGAGGGGAGAATAAAACCAAATCTGACTGTTCTTCTGTTGGCCCTCGATTACAAAAGAGGATGACAAACCAAGGTTTTTGCAAAAGAGAATAGCATGCTTCTACTCCTGTTTCCATCTTGAAGGCATGGATTATGCTGCTCGGGGTAAATGGAACAAAAAAAGGAAAGTCTTTCTCAGTACTGCTTTGGGATACAATAGTAAGGTAGTACAGTTCAAGACAGAGGGTATGTCACGGATGCCCATGTTGAAAATCATACAGGTTGTGTATGTGTTCTTGCATTTAGATGTTTTGATTAGTGTAATTGTAATTTAACATACACAGCTACGTCTTACCCTGGCATGAGATGTGTAGACAGCGTATGACAAAGACTTTTTGTCACTCTTTCACGGGGAGGTATATGTTGAAATTACTCTTATAAGAAAAGGAGGCAAGAAACACTCTTCCTTTCCATGAATTATAATTAAAAGGCAGTGAAGCAATCACATTGCCTTTAAGAATAACCATTCAAAAACAAGTGTATTTCCCTTTGGAAAGAGTCTCTTATCCCTGTGAAAAACTTGGAACATTATTTAAGTTATTACCTTTTGGGTGACTTGCCTCTATATTAAAGTCACAAGTATTTGGGAGGGGAAAAAACCCAACCAAACTCAGTGAAGTTGAGTATTTTCATTTTTATTATTCATTGCATGTTTTTTTACTCTTGCTCAAAATCTATCTTGTAGACTTCATTCTAGATAGAAATGAACTGAGTAAATAGTGGGGAATACTAGTACTATTCACATTAAAGGCTTTGCAAAAATAAACTAACTAATTAGATGTGATGTTTTATTCCTTTGGTACATGTATGTTTCAGGGATGCTTCTTGTAGTGTTGTGAGCTACTTCAGGTTTAACTTAGAGCTGTAGTGTAAAACCGTACTATTACCTGTATCTAAGTAACTGAGGTTGGAATTACACTGTGCAGTGTAAATGCCGTGTATCTTTTTTGCAGCAAAGATGATCGTACTTGGAGCACCTGTCTGCCTAGGGGTGAAATAATCTGAAAAACAGAGTTGAAAGACCGAAAAAAAGTAAAACCAGAACTTCTGTATGGGAGGGAAAAAACCCCATAGACTTTTTACTGTCTGTACCTGTGCTTCTGTTACTATATATGTGCACCACATAAGTTTTCTGAGTGGAATTAAAATTGTGCTATTGTGTTCCAAAGCTCTCCTGTAGGACAGTTCATCAAAAATAAATCTGAAGTGAGCCATGACAGTTCTTTTTGTGCTGTGCCAGTTTTTGCAGAGTAAAACTGACTGTCTTTTTAATTGAGAGCCTTTCTGGAGCAGAGGCAAACAGATGGGAATCTAGGTGAGGGCCTACAAAAGGAGAAAGAAATTGCTTCTGTGGCTGAGGAAGGAAGCGTGCTGAAGGCTACACTGTAGCTTGTGATCTCACAGTTAGTAAATGTGACAGGGAACTAAAATAAACAGTTGTCCACCTATCATCTGGGATGTGGGAAGTGCAAGAGTCACAGAAGTACTTGAGTACTTGATGCTTACTGCTACCGTGCCAATCCTGTCATCCACAGAGCTCTGCGAGCTGCTCAGGGTTAGGTACAGAGAGGTGCTCTTAAGGATAAGAATATCTTACTGATAAAAACAGGCACTCTTGTCCTTGGGTGTATGCTGAGAGGGTAGGTGGATCCTTTATGAATTGGCCTTTCTAAGTAATGCTTAGATGACTTTCAGATACCTAGCTGACATTTGAGAGTGTTCATCAGGTTAGGCTCCAGTTGGGAGTTTTAATCAAAATCGCTCCCTTAGTAAAACATCACTCAGCACGAGCTGTGCGACAGAAGTCCGTGTTTAGCTTGTGGTTGTGAATGCTGCCACTCCTTTACCTCAGAACTAATCCAAAAGCAGACCGAAGTGCACTGTGTGGTGTCAGTGTGCTGAATCCCTGCTGAGCTGGGGCAGGCTTCTGCTGTGTTCTGTTGCATCTAGGTCAGGTAGAGGGATATTTTAGACAGCCTCCTTGTTCAGAGAGATTAAAGGAGTATCTACAGTAACTACACCTTCATATTTCAAGGCAAACTTTGTTTTCCTGCTCAGATGTGGTTAAGATGGTCTGTTTCTATTTTTCTTGTATAAAGCAGGGGGAAAAAATAAGTGCTTTTGTACTTGAATGCGATTAATAGACCTGTTTTCAAGCTGTGAGTGAGTTTTCAAAGTTGTTTAACAGTTGAGTGTAGTAGATCTGTAGTACCTTAGAGCATCTAATATATGGCTTTTTCCTTAAGGCCTGTCATCCATGAGGCAACTGGGTGAGACAGGCATAGTAGAAGTAATATTTTAATGAAGTTATGGCAGTTTGCTTGTAGTAGGCAAATGCTGTTTCGAGAAAGTCCAAGACCTTGTCTGCTGGTACATACTGTTTCTTCATGAAGTAGTTGAATGAGGTTACCTTCAAAAGCAGCAGTAGGTTATGGCTACTGGAAACTGTCATTTCTCAAGCTTTAGAATGTGTAAAGAAATACTGGACAACTAAAAGTGAAAAAGTTTTTTATTTTTATGTGTGCCTGCTCATGCATGCTGTTGTGAGCTGCTGGCATACTGCATGTTCCTCTATCTTCTAGCAGCAAGGAAGAGGAGGAAGGCTGTAAACACCAGGTTGCAAATCTGCCTGTTAGCAATTTTTGAAATATAAAATTAATTATTTGGGGGCCCTCTAGCTATTCAGGATGCTTCTTTTTCATGAACAGTGTTTTAATAGTGATTTTTAGTACTGTAGCAGTAGAGTGGAAGTCGCTATAAGATCCTAGAGAAATGTGTGTTATAGAATTACAGAAACTTTTTAGAGGTGAACCAGGAAGAAGAGGAGGCATTTGACAATATCTTGTACACTGTCCCAGTCAGCACTCTGTAGTTATTCATCTAAGGACTTGATGTTATTTGAAGTAAGTCCTGGCTATGCAACTACAAAAAGAGATTGCTGAGTACGTCCACATGGTTAGTTCATTCCTGACCAGGGGAGGAAGGCTAGACCATAGTGCAGGAGTAGGACAGCCTAGCCCTTCTAATGGATTGGTGTTTGCATCCTGTGGCGGACAAGCAACATCTCATGTTTCTCCCCAGCTTGAAATTCTCTTCAGGAAATCTGTACTTTCTTAGATCACTTGGTATCATTCCTGCAGCTGTTGCAACACAGGAAGCTGGCCTAAATCTGAATGGCTTGACCAGGTCTTCTGCAGAATGGATATTGTGCCCCTGTTACTCATTCATGAAATAATTTCCAATGCATCCCTAATTGTAGAGCTGTGAGAAACCTTATATCATTAAATTTTGGGGCAGTATTGAAGACCTGGAACAGGAGAACAGTTTATTTTCATAACTGAAGACAAAGCAAGGCTCTGTTGTTAATTTTTTTTTTCATATGAACTCAGGAGAATGTGTTCTTTGCATCAAGATTTGTTGACATTGAAGTGACTCTTACTAGCTTTAATTATAGCAGTTATTACCTAATTTCAGTAGGTAATCTGGATTAGAAGAAAATATGTACTTTAGCATTTCCATTAGTATGGCTTACTCTATATAACTTTTTGTGATGTCTTCAGTTCATCTGGAATAATTTGTCAACACAGATAGTCCTTGCAACTTTCTTTTTGTTTTTCTGCATTAGTTGTTTTAGCTTTTGAAGTCTTGTCCTATTTTTCTCACTTACAGTCTCTGTTTCTGAAAGCTAACCAATTGTGCCTTCACCTTTTTTTATGTCTGCAGTGAAGAAAAGTTTCTTAAAAGCATGTTTCATATATCAGGAGGAAGCAAAAAAATCAGTATCGCCATCTCTCTGTCAAGGATGAGCTGCAGACACTTGTGAATTATCTATGTGGAGTTCCAGAGGGGAGATACAGGAGATACAAGGAGAACCTGTTACTAGGAGTGGCACTTCAGCACTACACAAGTGAAAGTGTTTTTGGTAATTGCACAGTCAGACCAGCTACTTAGATTTTTTTTTTTAGAGGTTTCATGTGTGGTCAGTATTTTTTATTTGAGATGAACAGTAGTTCAACTGGATCACAATCCAGATAACAGCGAATTAAGTTGTGAAACTGTACAATCCTTGTTTGCAGTTAATCTAATTTCTATAACATCTGGTCTAATATCACCCCTAGAAGTGATTTGTTAGAAGACTAGTGGAAAGTTGTAAACTGTTTCAGAAGGGTAAACTGGAATGTGGAGTTGAAGTAATCTCCACTGAAGTGGAAGTTACCTAAAAATCTTGCTCTCTGCAATACAGTGTTTAGGACTAGATTGATTTATTTATCAGGTGACATTTACTGTTGATATGGAGTGGTGGAAATGTTCAAAGCCAGGCTGGATGGGGCCCTGAGCTGCCTTATCTAGGGGGTGATATCCCTGTCTGTGCCTGGTGGAACTACATCAACTTCCTAGGTCCCTTTCTACTCAAGGGCTATGTGCACATAGCCTTTCTGTGCACATGGCTGTGTCCAGGTGTGTGGGGGGACAGCCCAACAACGTACAGGAACCTCTTTTATTAATCTTGTACACATGAAGCAGTTATGGGGGATTGTTAGAGTTTGCAAGATGCAGGCAGTAACCCTCCTGGGATCTTTGACTGTGAAGCTACCTACAAGGTAACATTGTGAAAGCCTGATGTACGAATTGACCCATAAATGTAGCCTACTTGGCTTCATATGACTGCCTTTTGCGTAAAATATTGCTGAAGGATTTTCTTTTGGTTGGGAGAGTGTATAAATTAATACAGCTTGCAAAATCTTGACTCTTGCACTTCTGGAGTTATATTTATGTAGTTAGTGTGAATAAGGATATATCATACTCTCTTTTTTGACTCTTCTGACTTATTTAAAATTGAGATTTGATGGGCAGTAGACATTCTGTAAGTCTGGTGATTTTATTCCCATTCAGGGAATGGTCCTTTTTTTATTTACTGTGTTGTTCATATTGGTAGAAGCATACAAAAAATGCAATGTTGTTTTCATAGGTTTTATGATGAGGAGCATCAAAAATGAGTTTGTTGCAAATGTGAACTCTCCTTCAGAATTCTTACAAATATAATACCAATCCATAGATGAATTTTCAAGGTAATTTTATATCAACAAGTATACAATTCGAGATGC